CGCAGTCCGCAGTCCCAGTCCCCCAGGGGAGAGTTGGCCCCAAGGGTGGGGGGCTGCGGTCTGCTGCCAGGAAGTGCCGGGGGGAATGAGTAACCAGGCTCCTCCTGCCTCACCTCCCAGCCTGGGGTCCCCCGGCCCCACCGAGGAAGCGAAGTGGCCCCTTGGGTGGAGAAGGAAGCGAAAGTGGCTGCACCGAAGGGGCTTGGGAAGGGGGAGCAGGTGGGGGGGTACAGGGCACACCCCAGGCGGGTGCTCCCCCTCCTTGGGTGCCGTATCCTGCCCCACCATCAAGCCGGAGGCACCTTGCAGCTGTGGGGTTTTCCCAGGTGGCAGCTCCTGGCCCGAGCATGAGGCAGCCCTGCCCCGCGGGGGCCCCACTGCTGTTTAGGGCTTGAACCCCGGCTTCCCTGGCCAGGTCTCACCTCCCTGCTGCTGTCCCCTGTGCCAGGCAGGCCTGGCCCCTTGCTCGGTGGGGGGAGCGCGGAGCCTCCACTCCGGGGTGTCTCCTTCAGGGTACAAGCCCCTCATCGGCTGGGCCAGCGGGAGACTTGGGGTGCATCTGCAGTGGATGCATCTGCAGTAGGTGTAGGTGCATTGCACTGGGCAGCACAGAGCCGGGAGCTGCGCCTCCCCCGGCACCGCTGAGCTGCAGGGCTGGAAGCTGCCGCGGCAGCTGCTTTTGCCAGGCTGCCCCAGGGTGAGGGTCCCCACAGGAGGGGCAGCTCCATCACCCGGCCTGGGTCTCCGTCCCTACCTGCTGTCCAGCTTCCTTCTCCCTGGCACTGTGGGGGTGCTGACGGAGCAAATCCTGTGTGGCCTGATTCTGTGAGGGTGCAGGAAGCTGGGGCTGGGCACGAGGGCTTCTCAAGGAAACCTCCGTGCAGCACAGCCCCAGCCAGGGTATTATTATGGGAGCTGGGTCTTGGCAGGGAAAGGCTGTTCTGCAGAAGGAGCAGAGGAGGAAAACATGGAAATTAGTTAGGACGGGAAGGAAACACGGCATGGCTGGGCTGAAGGAGCTGCTGTGACTGATGCCAGGAGGGGATGGGCCTGTCTCCGCTCTGAGCTCCTCCAAATCGTTGTCCCCTGGGCTGGTGGGAGCTGGGAACTGGGGAGGAGGATGAGTGCAGCATCTCCTGCTGCAGACTCTTAGCAAATTCAGGCATGCCCAGCTTACGTTCCAGGTTGCTGCTTACCAGCCAGCAGCTGCCTCCCAGGGCTAAGCAGAAATACAGGTTTTAATAGGGGAGGAGGATGGAGATTACATCTTGAGGATCACAAAATGAGAGGCTTTTTTTCCCTCTTGTCTTGGTTCCCTGCATGCCAGCAGCTACGATCTCGCTGGGGCCGTGGGGAGAGCGGGGCAGTGCTCCCGGCTGTCGCTGGGTGCGTTTCCCACCGTGCATTGACCCCTCCAGAGTAAACTCAGCCCTCAGGCTTTGCGCTGCAGTAAATCGTCGGGATCTGTTTGCTCTGGCCAGTCAAGCAGAGTCAAAAGCAAATGCGTTCCTGGAAGCGCCAGGCTTGGCATACCCTGGGGTTGGGCCTCCATCTGCTGCGGTTCCTCCCTGGGGCGGCACGTGGGGCTCTGCCGGGGCAGCCTGGGAGGGCTGGTTCTGCTGCATCGTCCAGCTCCCGCGGGAAGCAGAGCACCCCAGGGGTCGTGCCACTGCTGCTGGCCCTGGGTGTGCCCCCTCCTCCCAACAGAACGGCGGCAGCTGGAGCTGTGCTGGCAGCCAGCCGGGTGCAGGCCGTGCTGTGGTTGTTTTGCACTCTCTGCGATGTTGCCCTAGTGACGCTGGCTTCCTTCCCCTCGCATGGTTTCTCAAAGTCTCCGGCAGCTCCACCTCCGCCCTGCGCCTTGGCTCTTGCAGGGCGGCCAAGACCCGTGGGGAACGCGCTGCCCGCGAGGACATGTGACGTGACTCCCTGCTCGGCTGTTTGCTTTCGGGGACGGGAAGCCAGCCCTGGGCGGATGGGCTGGCTGGGGTCCCGGAGGCGCCCTGGCCCCACGTCTGGGCGGTGAGCTGCTGGTGCCTTGTGCCCCGCCGCAGGATCCAGCCTCTGCCCCAGCCAGGTCCAGGGGAACCGGCAGCGAGGTGCGTCTGGGCTGGGCAGTGCAGTGAACCCCCTTGCCTGCTGGGCCCCGAGGGCTGCCTGAAAGGGAGCAGGCTCCCAGCAGGGGCTGGAGGGTATGAGAGTGGCAGGCAGCGGGGAAGAAGGGAATGAGCTGTCGGGAAGAGGCATGGCGTGGGCAGGACAGAGCAGGCAGGCTGCAGGCACTGCTGGGGGGCTGGGGCTGGCCAGGGGGAGGGACTGTCAGGGTTGCAACACCCAACTCAGGGGGTGGTGGGGAACCCACGGTCCGGGCTGGGCCGTGACCCCCTCCAGCCCAGGCCTTCCCTGCGGAGTTTCCCATCTAGCGCCTCATTCCAGTCCTCCTCTTGCTTTCCATGAGCTCTGGAGCCCACCATTTCTGGGGGGCAGCTGGGGCGTGCTCAGGAAGGCGCCTTCCTTGCGGGGCAGCTGGGGAGGTTTTGGGGAGCAGCCAGGCTGCCTCACTGAGACCACCCCAGCAGAGCAGTCTCACCAAGCTCTGGGGTTTCACATTCTTCCTCCTCCCGGCGGCTCTCCCATCTCTCCTGTGCCAAGACTGGCAGCGCTTACCTGTCCCTCCACTTGTCCTTGTGCATCGCCCACAGCAGGAGGCGCAGGGTTTCCCCAGAGATGCGGGAAACTAAGGCACAAGTGGGCTGCCTGCCTGCCTGCCCAGGATTGCCCAAGAGGCTGATCCTGGATTGGGCTTTCTGCTCCTCCTCCCCAGCAGCCCCAGCCCTGCTAAGCAGCAGGGCATTGCAGCTGCCCGTGGTGCCCAGGCTGCCCTGCTCCCTGCTCATGTCCCCACTCCTGTTTCTCCACAGGTGACTGTTCCCAAGATGTCCCTCTGGAGCATCATCTCCCACATGCCGCCGGAGGAGTTCAGTGGCCTCTTCACAGAGTTTCCCCGCAGCCTGCGCTGTCTCCTGGCTGACTGGCTGGAGAACCAGCCCTGGTGAGTCCCCTGGTGCCTGTGGGCTCTGCTCTGCCCTGGTGCAGCTCCCCACGCACCCATGATCAGCCTGGGCAGCATCCGGGGCTGGCTGCCCTGGGGGGCTGAGCCGAGCTGGGGGCCCCAGCCCGGGCAGCACCTGACCATCAGGTCTGAACGTGCGGGCAGAGGCAGATGTTGGTGACGGGCCCCGTCCACGGCCCCAGACGAGGTGGGTGAGGAGGCTGGGGTCTGCACAGGGCATCCGGTCAGGAACAAAAGGAGACGGGGCCGGAGGCAGGACCACAGCATTGGTTCGAGGGGCCCATCCAGGAGATGGGGCTGCAGGGAGGGCCAGGGGCAGAGGCAGGCATGCTTGCAGCGTAGTGTAGCATAGGAGAGGCCTCAGGACCCCAAACTGGACACAAATGAAGCTCCTGGACCTGTGGAGAGAGAGTGCAGCCATCCGGGTGAGGCTGGTCAGGGTCTATTAGTGCCTGTGGGGTCTGGACTGCTGCGACTCTGTGTTTGCAGTGGCAGCAACCATGGGCACAGCCTGGCCAGAGTCCCCTTTTTGTGCCTAGGAAATAGTAACAGCAATGATTGATTATCCACGTTACGGGCTCACCCAGGCTTCTCCTTTGCATGGTGCAACGACCAGGATGCAGGCGGGCAGGAAAGCCCCACTGGCACATCCTTCTGCCTCGCGAGGCTGCGGCCGTGCTGGGTGTCAGAGGAGCAGTTCAGGCCACGTTGCAGCGGTGGGTGAGGGGGGCTGGTCCCTGGCACGTGGCTCTGGGACCCACAGCACGGCTCAGGCCAAGGTGCAGCAGTGGGGTCACGCTGCAGGGATGAGGCATGGTGAAGGCAGGTGGGCATGCAGGAGCTGGGTGTACGCGTGGGAGAGGTTTCAGGAGGTCACGTCCTCTCCAGAGAACTGCCTCATCCCGCTCAGAGCACAGTTCGCCCTTGTTCACGCAGCAAATTTCCCCCGGAAATCCAGCCAGCACTGGGTAATGCACGAGGAAGGCAGGTGTCCCCTTCCTTGGGGCTAGCATGGGGTTCAGGGTTGCACAGCAGAGGGTGGAGGATTCGTGCCTGTCCACCCAACCCTTTCCCCTCTCCAGGGAGTTCATCAATGGCTCGGACGCCTTCTGCACCAGCGTGGCCAGCGGCATGCTCTCAGCCATGCTGGAGAAGCTCCGCAGTGCTGCCGGCAGCGATGGGCAGCAGTGCCAGATCCTCCAGCAAGTTAGCAGCATCGAGGTGTGTGAGGGCTGAACATGGGCACCCTCGGGGCCGTGTTGCGCTGGGATCGCAGCTTACTGCCAAGGAATATTTGATTATTTTATGCTTTGGATTCGCTACCACTCAAAGGGGATGGTGCTACGAGCCCGTCCCCCCTTGACACCTGTTTCAAGGCCAGCGCTGGCTGTGAGCAATGAGCTTGTGTGGACTCAGCAACTGGGGTTTTCAGGGCACTTCAGGGAGACGGAGGGGGTTTGTTTGCGTCCCAGGGCTGACCCCCAGCTTGCCACAGCACTCGGGCTGTCACAGCTGTGATCGCGGTTCCCCTCGGCTCCCCACCCCCGCCGGCCACTGGGCTTTCCAGCTTCCCCTTGCTGCCACGGTTCTGCAACCCCTTCAGTGCCCAGTGGCCCCCAGGGAGCTGCCCCCTGTGGCCACGTCCTCCCAGGCCCCGTGCTGGACCCTGACCCTGTGGGGAGCCCCCTGAGTGCATTGGCCCCCCATGGCCCATGGCTCCGTTTGCCCCTGGCTGCCAGCACCCGGGCAGCCGCCTCACCAGATGTTCCCCATTTTCTGCTTGAGCGTTTGATTTCTCCTTCCTCCATGCCATGTGTTGTGCTGTGTTTCCTCCTGCTGTGTGTGCGTGTGCATGCTGGGTTTCTTTTTCTGGGCTGTTTCTCTTTATCAAGGTCTGTTTGAATTGTGCGCTCTCTCTCTCTCTCTCTTCCACCTTCTGTGATTGCAGATTTAACCCCTGTAATCTCTCTCCTGCCAATGAAGCTCTTAGCGTAAGGGCTGAGTGGTGCTTGCTCCCAGAGCCCCGTTCTGGTTGAAAGCCCCGCTTTTTTGGTAACAGACATTTTTAATATACAACATTTGGGAAGGTGTCTGCTTTAGTAATAACTTCTGGGGAACAGGGTAACTTTCCAAAACAAGACTGTTGCTTGCTTTTTGAAATTGTAGGAAAATGCACAGATGTTTCAGCTTAGGTGTTTTTATTTAAAATGCTCAAGAAGAGCCACCCTCCCATGTTCCTTCCTCCCGCTGTTCCTCCTCCTATAACAGCCAACCCTCATTTCTCCCGAGCTCCCTGCTGCCCTCCCTCCTGGCCAGGAGGCAGGGCTGCTCTCCGTGGAGGGCAGTGGAAGTGCTGCCTGTTGATGCTGCCACGTGGGCGGTGGGAGCTGGGTGCTCTCCTATGAGATGGGTAAACGCAGGGTCAGGGAAGCAGCTGGGAGAAGTGTGGTGGGAAACTGGCTGGTGGGAGACCAAACCTGGGCTTTATGTCCCCTGAACCCTGGGGCTGGCAGGGTTTGCCCCAGCAGAGCCCCAGTGTCGGCCTGGGGCTGCCAGTGTTATGTCAGGATGTGAGGCAGATGCAAGGGGTTCAGGGGGTCAGTCGCGGAGCTGCCTCCCAGCCAGCATGGGAAGCTGCCGAGCATGCCGTCCAGCAGTTTGCCATTGCGCTCTGCTGCTGTTTTGGGAAGTAGCTGATTTGGGAAATGCACGAAGGCTGGAGGAGCTGGCACGGGGCGCAGGGAGCCAGAGCCAGCAGGGAAATTCCTCTCCCTGTTTTCGGTGGAAAGCGTTGATCCACCCGGGCCAGGGCAGCTGCGAGAATCTTCACCAGGTGTCAGGCTGGCAGGTCTCGAGGAGATGCTTGCAGAAATAGAGAATTTGCTTTGGTTTGATTTTTTTTAATATGAAGTTGATTTTTTTTTTTTTTAATGCACAGTTTAAAGTCGTTTTAAAGCTGGAAATTAGCTCTGTCAGAACAGTGGCGAGTTGTGGTCTGTCCCGTGCTTTGGGTCATGAAACCCCACAGTCTGACTTAGCACCATTCATTGTGGGAAGGGGGCCCGAAATGCATGAATGGGGTGGGAGGGGGCCAGGGCTGGGGTGCGTGTGTCCTGCCCCACTAACGCCCTGGGCTTGGCTCCCCCGCAGAATGCCTAACGGCGGGACCCACTGCGGCTGGTGGCCGTCCTGAAAGCGATCCTGGAGGGTGAGAAGGCTGCTGTGCTCAAGAGGGTGCGTGGTTCCTGCCCCTTCCAGGGCGCCCTGAGGTGTAGGGCCAGCTCCGGGCCCCACTCACCCTGCTGTGCTCTGCCCCAGGACCACCACCTGCCCCTCAGCTTCCACCGGCGGCAGGAGGAGCTGAAGTTCAGCCTGGGGCTGCAGCGGCTGCAGCACCACGTCCGTGAGGTCCAGGTGCTGCGGGACAGCCCTGCAGGTGAGGGGCCAGGACAGGATGGATCCCTGCTCGGTGTGGGTCTGCCATGGGGCACAGTGAAGGTGCCCAGGGTGCTGGGCAGTGCAATGCAGATGCTGGCTCCCTGTGCTAATGGGGCCACCCCCATCCTTCCTCCGCAGCCTCTCTGCAGCTGAACGTGCGGGAGCCGCAGCTGAAGACAGACACGAAACCCCCAGAGAGCGTGAGTGGGGGTCTGGGGCACCAGGGGGAAAGCCCTGCCTGCCAGGGAAGGTGCAAACCAGCTCTGGGGCAGCGAGGCAGTGCAGGGCCGGGGGTCTCGGTGCCCTGGGGGGGGGACGGTGTAGGGCTGGGGGGACAGTGCAATGCAGAGCCCCATGGCCAGTGCTGCTCCTCAGGAGCTGCCCACCCTGATCCTCGAGGCCGTGAAAGAGCTGGAGGCAGCCAAGCAGCAGGTACTGAAGAGGATCCAAATCTGGAAGAGGCAGCAGCAGCTGGCAGGGAACGGGGCCCTCTTTGAGGAGAACCTAGCTCCGCTGCAGAAGAGGTGAGGCGGCACAGGGCAGAGACGGGGGACCCAGAGCAACCCTCCTGCCCCCTCTGCTCCCCTGGGAGTGGGGAGCCCACTGGCTTGAGGGGCTCTGGGAGAGTGGTGGTCTGGCTGTGCTTTGGCTGAGGGGTGCCCCTTTCCCCGTGGTTCCCTCGGCAGGTGTGAGAGCCTGGTCGAGGTTTACTTCCAGCTGCACCAGCAGGTGATGGCAGCAAGCACAGAGCTGGGGGCTGAGGTGCTGCCCCGGCTCCTGGAGCGGTTCAACGAGGTGTTATCCAGCCTGGTCAAGAGGTAACGGGTGGGGGAGCTGTGGTGGCAGAGGGGTGAGGTGGGTCTGCAGAGGTTGGTGGAAGAGCTGGCAGGGGTGTTGTGCCAGGCACCATTGTCTCCCCTTGTCCCCCAGCTCCTTCCTGGTAGAGAAGCAGCCCCCACAGGTGCTGAAGACCCAGACCAAGTTCCAGGCAAGTGTCCGGTTCCTGCTGGGCCCCCAGCTGCTGAAGGCATCGGCCAAGCCCTACATGGTGCGGGCTGACATGGTGACGGAGAAGCAGGCACGGGAGCTGGCACTCAGCGCCTACAGCAACACCCTCAGGTGAGCAGCCAGCCGGCCAGTGCGGGGGTGAGGGGGCTGCCACGCCGCCACACCCCCCCAACCTCCTCCTCTGCCCAGCGAGAGCACAGGGGAGATCATGCATAACGTGGTGGCCCTGGAGACCAACCCTACCAGCGGGACCTGCTGTGCCAACTTCAAGAACGTGGTGAGTGCCACCAGCAATGGGCCATACAGGGGCTACGGGACGAGCTGGGGGCTCCGCTGGGGTGCTGAGAGGCCGCGGGGGAGAGCCGTCTTGGTGGGGTGGGCTGGGGGCCTCAAGGCCAGTGCTTGCCCAGGGGTGACATTCAGCTCTCCCCTCCCTAGCTGCTGAAGAAGATCAAGCGCTGCGAGCGGAAGGGGTCCGAGTCAGTGACGGAGGAGAAGTGTGCCGTCCTATTCAGCACCACCGTGGCCGTGACCCCCAGCAATCTTTCCGTCCACCTCCAGGTACTGGCCCCTCTCCCATGGGACAGGGCTGGGCAGCGCTGAGCCTTCCCCCGCGGGACATCCGGGCCCTGTGCTGGACAGCTCGGTGCAGAGCCCCTGAGGTGGTCCCAGGGCAGCCAGCCCCGCTTCACTCTGGGTGGCCTCAGGGCTGAGGGGGGGGCCGCTCTCTGCCCCCAGGTCCTGTCTCTGCCCATCGTGGTCATCGTCCATGGGAACCAGGACAATAACGCCAAAGCAACCGTGCTGTGGGATAATGCCTTCTCCGAGATTGTGAGTGCCACAAGCCAGAGGGAAGGGGCACAGGGCGAGTAAAGGAGCTGCTGGGATGCCGGGGTTGGGTCCGGCTCTGGGATGGGAACGGATAGCAGTCTGGAGCAGGAACATCGGCACACGGGTGGGATGCGGTAGGCTGAGATGGGGCAGCGGGTGAGCTGCTGTCCTGATGCCGTCTGGCCCTGCCGCAGGACCGGGTGCCCTTCGTGGTGGCCGAGCGGGTGCCCTGGGAAAAGATGTGCGATACGCTGAACCTGAAGTTCATGGCGGAGGTGCAGACCACCAAGGGGCTTCTCAAGGAGCACTACTTCTTCCTGGCCCAGAAGATCTTTAATGACCACAGCGCTAGCCTTGAGGACTTCCAGAGCCGCAGCGTCTCCTGGGCCCAGTTCAACAAGGTTACTGGGAGGGCTGGCCAGGGTGGGCAGGGGCCTGCGTGGCCCTGGGGAGCCTCACACCCTCTCTCTGCCCCAGGAGATCCTGCCTGGTCGGGGATTCACCTTCTGGCAGTGGTTTGATGGAGTCCTCGACCTCACCAAGAGATGCCTCAAAAGCTACTGGTCAGACAGGTAGGTGCCCAGGGGCCAAGCAGGTTTTCACAGCTGCTCCAGGGCCAGACCTGGGGAGACCTGGTCCCACCCTTCCACTCCACTCTCCGCCTGTCCATCCCTCTAGGCTCATCATTGGCTTCATCAGCAAGCAGTATGTCTGCAAGCTCCTGAGCACGGAGCCTGACGGGACCTTCCTGCTCCGCTTCAGTGACTCAGAGATTGGGGGTGTCACTATTGCTCACATCATTCGGGGCAAGGATGGTGAGATGGGGGGACAGCGTCTGCTTTCAGTGCTGTGAAGGGGAGGTGTCATTGTGGCCTGGGGACATCAGGCGTTATGGGGACCAGGCAATGGAGCCCCGTGCCATGTCTCCCGACAGGGTCCAGCCAGGTGGAGAACATCCAGCCCTTCTCTGCCAAGGACCTGTCCATCCGGTCCCTTGGCGACCGCATCCGCGACCTAGGGCAGCTCCGCAACCTCTACCCCAACACCCCCAAGGACCAGGCGTTCGGGAGTCACTACAACAGTGAGTGGGTGGGAGCAGATGTGGTCTCTGGGCTTCACATCTGCCTCCCCAGCAATGCCGTGGGGAGAAGCAGGGGAGGGGTTTGGAGGGAAGAGGGGTTTGGGTTCCACCCATGTCCTGCTGGCCCCAAAGCTTGCAGGGGCGGCCAGTGCTGGCAGAGGGTTGGCACAGCATGGCCCTGTGCTGGGGTGGTGGTTCATGGATGCTTCTCCTCTCCGAGCAGAAGAGCAGACGGGCAAGGACGGCCGGGGCTATGTCTCCACCGCCATCAAGATGACAGTGGAAAGTGAAAGGTGGGTGTGCGTGCAAGGCCATGGCTGTGCCAGAGGTGTGTGCACAGGCGCTGCCCTCTGTGGGGCCGAGCTGCACCGGGCCAGGTCTTGCACAGACCTCACCGGGCTGGCCCGCACATCGCTGCTGGGCAGGGGGATTTCTGACCGGGCAAAATGGATATGTGCTTGTGAGTGAGGAATCCCCCATTGGGTATGCCGAGCTGCAGTGGAGCATGTCTGTGAGCGCACCACCCTCTCCGTGAGCAAGCACTGACTTGCACATGCACCTCTTCAGAGGCTGGACCTTGCAGTGTGCGAGTCCTGCCTGTGCTGATGGGGATGATGCACTTTTGCAGGGACCAGCAGCCCCAGAGCGCTGCGGGGGGCCCCCCCGAGGCCCCCCAGGCTCAGATGTTCAGCCTGCCCGTGCTGCAGCCTGAGCTGCACCCAGAGAGCCTGCAGTCAGTGCTCAGCCCTATCTGGTGAGTGCCCGGCTCTGTGCCTGGCCATACCCTGGGCAGAGGCAGACCTGCTCTGTCGGGCATGTGCTGGGGTGGGAGGGGGCTGTGGTGGAGAACACCCTCAGATGCTAACCCCTCCGTGTCTGTGCTTGTAGCCCCCCTGCTCCCTTCTGCCCCCAGCCCGTCCCCACAGGCTACCCTGCAGGTGAGAGCGACATCAACATGATGGTCTCTGATAACCTCAGGTCTTCCTTCCCCAGGTAGGAGTGGTGCCGGTTCAGGGCAGGGGGCAGGGGGCAGGGGGCAGGGTGGGCCCCCCCCTGCCCACAGGCATGGCCAGGTGGTGTTTCACCCACCTCTAAGTGCTCCTGCTCCTCCTCCCCGCAGCACATCACCGATGCTCTCACCGTCCCTGGTCGGAGACCCTGCGCTGCCCCGCTGCCAAGACCTTGCCTTCAGGAACCCCTTGTAAGACCTGACACACGGCTGGAGAGGAGCACCCTGCCCTGCCCCCCGTTCTCCCGACCACCCCGGGGCGAGCAGACCTGGAGGGGCCTTCCCCAGCTGACCAGTGCTCTGCACTACTGATGCGCCCTACAAGGAGACCCACCCCAGCCCCGCCAAACCAAGCACCTCCCTCCTATGCCTTGGGGCTAGCAAGCACCCTGGGGGCAGGGAGGTACGCTATGGCCTATGTCAGCCCCTCCACTATTCTTTGCTCCCCAGGCACTTCATGCCCAACCAGTACATGATGGGGGAGGCCTCGCAGCTGCTGTCTGGGGGCCCCTCGCCAGAGCCACAGGACGAGGAGATGCCCGAATTGACCCTGTTCACACCGATGGTGGACCCACCACTGCAGAGCTCCCCAAGGTGGTAAGCATGGGGGGTCAGCAGGGGGGCCAGGGGGGCTGCTCCGTGTCACCCCGCCACCTCTCTCCCCAGGATGCCGCCCAGCATGGACCTGCCGCCTGGCTCAGACTTCGACCAGTTCCTGCAGGAGATGTCCCTGGAGGGCCCTGCACTGTGCCCCCCCTTCACACCCTCCCTGCAGCGCAGCAGGTACCCCAGCCCCAATGCCTCTTGCTGGGGGCTGGGGGAGTCTCGGTGGGATGACAGCGTCCGGCCAGGGCATGCATGAGGAGGCTGCGGGGCTGCTGGGGGGGACGTCGGACTGTGACCCCCGCCACAGCCTTGTCTGGGTTCCTGGACTTGATATGACTTGTGCTGAGGTGGAAACTCTGGCAGGGGAGGGGGGGATTTTCTGGGGGGGGCGGTAGCACTTTGGGTAACACCCTGCCCCCCCTTGCATATATGCCACACTTTGGAGTACAGAGCCGCTGCCTGCCCATGCCACTGTTGGGGTCCACAGTCCCAGGAGGCGGTGGGTGAGGGAGTGCAGGCACAGGGGCCCCGACCCGCGTGGGAGGTGCCTGCAGCAGAGCGCAGTGCCCCCAGCCCACGCTGCTGGGCTCAGCCCCGTGGGGGCCGGGATGAGTCAGCTGTGGGGGCGGGAGGTGGCAGCGGGAAACACGCTGGGGCAGCTGTGCCAGCTCGGTGCGTGACGGGGCCTTCCCCCTACCTGGGGGATGCTGGGACCCCCTGCACTGGTCTGGGGGGGATGGACACCTCACACACCCGCAGTTGGCACTTGCTTTGGGGTTTGTGAGCTGCCCCCCTCCCCCCCCCCCCGGCCTGGAGCGGGGCTGTGGCAGGGAGAGAGAGCCTAGGGGCATGGGGGAAGGAAGATAAGCCATAAAATAAAGTTTTATTCCAAAATAA